GCGGGACGGGCGGCCGGGGGCGGGTGGGGGGCGGGCCAAGCGCCCGGCACTTCCTGCCGCCGCCATTTTGTCAAGTGAGGAGGAGGAGGAGGAAGCGGCTGCCGCGGAATTCGCGGTGCCCGCCCGGCCCGGGTAAGTCCGGGCTCGGGATGCTGGCCGCAGGTACTCCTGGTCCCCTTTCTGCATTCCCCATCGGGACTGGCCGGGGCTGCGCGCTGGCTCCCGGCGCGCTGTCCTTCCGCTACCTGGGTCCTCCTGCCGGCGCTGGGGTAGTTAGAGTTCCCGCTTCCATAATCTCACCTTTCTGGCTGTCCCTGGAGCTCTACCTAGAAAGAGGTAGAAGATCCTGTCCAGAGGGAGAGGGCTGCCACCTCCTGCCTGCCCCAGACGGGACCCAAGGGACAGTTGGGGTGACGAAAGACTAGTGGTTCCCTCGACCCACCCACTCCCAGTCTGGAAGCCCCCTCTTTGGGCGCTTTGTTTTGCCATGTTCTGTGTGCTCTGGCGTCTCTTGCAATGATCTTTTTTATTTGCGAGTGTGTGTGTCGGTTTAGGGTGGGGATGTGGGGTAGTTGTGATTCAGCAAAATAAAATGACCCCCCTCCACACACAAACACAGAAATAACACAACTTGAACGAGATACCCCCCAAGACCGGGCCTTGGTTGGGGATGGGAAATCCCAGATTAGTGTATTGGACAGTGTGAATACTTGTGCTCAGGCCGGTGGATGAGTCATGTGCTTCTGCTAAGTGGCTGACCTCTCTTTTATTCAAGACAGGAATTTTTTTAAAAAAAGTGTTTTAGCCTGCTTATTTACTTGTTTATGCTTTGTTCAACCTAGTTAGATTATCTTCTCTCGCACTCTGTGTGTGTTGGATGTCAGTGATCTCTTGCAGCAGGCCTGTAGAGAATTGGAGTATCTTTGCTTACTATGGACGACCCTGGTTACAAAAATCTGATACGCCGTGTACTAAGCCAATGTGCTCTTTAGTGCTATAATGAATGGTTGGAAAATTTTTGTGAATGGAGATGTCAACTTTTAATAAACTTTAGTGCTTGTAATTGGTAGACCTTGGAAGTTGTAAAGAAAGTCAGGTATAAAAAAATTTGAAGGTTTTGCGAATGTTTTCAATTCCAAGAAGATTTTGGATGGCACTGTATTTTATGGCCTTTACAATAATTGTTTATTTGGTTTTTCGAGACAGGCTTTCTCTGTGTAACTGCCTTGGGTACTATGAAACTTGCTCTGTATACTAGGTTGGCCTCGAACTCAAAGTGAAGCCTTTGCTTCCTGAGTGCTGGGATTGAGGGCGTGAGTCGCTCTGACACTGTTGTTTTGGCCTTTCCAATAATTAAAAGAACATTCTTTGCATTTAAATTTGGATGGAGATAATTTTTATATGGAGGGCGTTTATAGATAGCCAACTCCTTCCTACCCAGAAGATAAAAGCCAGGAAGGTTGGAGAAGATAAAACTGTCAAATACTTTTGAGTTGATCAAATCAAGAAGAAAAGTGCCTAATCTACTACAAAATATCATGCTGCCCTGTTGACCACCATATTTTTGGGGAGTTAGGACTCAGGCTAGAGTCAGTCTCTTAAAATGGTGTGTTAGTTGGTTTTAACTGGAAATAACCCACCCCTTTTTATCTTGTTAGTATTCTCCTAATGCAAATTTGCCAAAGATAAAGGGATTTTGCCTACTGATAAAAGCTGGGATGCAAAAGTGACTGTGGTAGTTTGGGTGTTCTGAAAGTGTGTATCTAGTTTGGAGGGCTGCAGAGGTGAAAATAGCTAAGAATTTCTGGAGAACCTTAGACCACTTAGTAACAGTTCCACTAAATTATTGGATTGTTTAAAGGAATTTAGACTTTGTTTTTAAGAGATAGTCCTTTTGAGCCAGTTTCTGTGATCTTTGCCCTAAATCACACTTTCACTATTTGGAAATAGGGAATGATGTTGTATATTCAGGCTGTTAAATGACTTGAGAGTTAGAAAATTTTGAAGATTGGAAGTTATGTTAATTTTTGTGCGCTACATGCATTCTTCCCTTGGAGGCCAGAAGAGGGCCTCAGATCTCCCAGATTGAGAGGTGCAGATGTTTGTGAGCAGCCATGAGGGTGCTGGGACCAGAACTTGGGTCCTCAGCAAGAACAGCAAGTACAGATGATCCATCTTGCCCGTCTCTGGATGTTATTATATTTAGAGACAAGGTTTCACTCTAGCCTAGGCTGTTGTCAAACTCTACAGTCCTCCTGTCTCAGCTTCCCAAGGGCTGTGAGCCACAACATCTTGCTTGGAATTGTTTTTAAAGAAAAGTCATTTTGGGCATTTTGCTTCTGACAACCCACTGTCATCTGTGTGGTATTTTGATTCTAGAGTATGCAGAGCTAGCTCAGCTGCTCTTGTGTAGGACCCACAGTGGCCAGTTTACTGTAACTTCAGCTCTTGGGGAATTAACACTGTCTTATGACTTCCTGGAGCCCTGCATGCACTGCACATCCCTCACCAAAAAGGTTTTTTTTTTTTCAAAAAGTTTGAAAAATGTGATATTGATGACATTGGTTGAAAAGAAGATGGGCAGAGTGTTACAGTAATCTCAGCACTAAGCAGAGAGGCTGGAGAATCTAAGATAACCTGGGCCACGCGCTCTTTCTGTTAACAAGAAGGAATTTTGTCATTGAAAATTGCTAATGGAGCCAGGTGTGGTGGCACACGCCTTTAATCCTAGCATTTCAGAGGTCAGCCTACCACACGGAGAAAGTTGCTGGACAACCAGGGCTACTTGGAGAGACCCTGAATTGAAAAACCAATAAAAAACCCTGCTGTATATTAAGTAGTGCTGTTAAGTCTGTGTGATTTTTATTCTAGTAAGAAAATACTGGACATTTGCAAAGTGAGAATTCTGAGACAACTCTTGCTGCTATTTCATTTAATACATGTGGCATGCACATGTAACATTTTCCTTTAAGTTACTTTTTTTCTGTCATCAGAATTAAATTCCACCAGAGAGGGATTTATTTGACTTTGCTTTGCTTATTCTTCATTGTCTCTTTAGTGCTTAAAAGAGCATCTTAATAATTGAATAGGAATTTGCCATACATAATGCTAAATGCAAGCTCATTTAAAAAAAATACTACGACTTTTAAGGAGTGTGAGTTTTAACTAAAGTAACATTGAAGGCCCTAGTAATGGTGGTAAATTTACTGAGTTTGAGCAGTGTGGTACACAGTTACTTAATGTGCACTACTGTATGTTCTGAGTTTCCTACTTAGCTTTCAATGTGCCTGGGTAGGATTGATCTGTTCAACCAGTCATGGAGAAAGTTTTTTAAAAGGGAGTTAAATTGTGTAAGAAATGTAGCATTTCTTAATTTTCATGTCAGTAAAACGTTAGTTACTTTTTGTTTGTTTGTTTGGTTTTTCCAGGCAGAGTTTCTCTAGCTTTTGGAGCCTGTTTTGTAGACCAGTCTGGCCTGGGATCCGCCTGCCTCTGCCTCCCGAGTGCTGGGATTAAAGGCGTGCACCATTACCGCCCGGCTAGTTACTTTTTTTAAAAAAATGTTGATGGTTTTATCATTGATTCTTGTATAAATATCAATCTTTGTAATTCATCCCTTAGCTCTTACTATGTACAAGAGAAAAAAAGATATTTTCTACAGTGACTTTTTTTGGTATCTCAAGTGTTGAGTATCTGAGGTTAACACTGTTGTATAATTTTTATCAAACTTCTTGTTTCTTTGCTGTTTGTTTTACATTTTTAAGAACATCTTTGAGGTATATAATTCACACAACAAAATTTGCCTAATTTTAGCATGGTCACAGACTTGTGCGTCCATTGCAATAATCAATTATAGGAGATTTCCATGTCCTCACAAAGGACCTATTTTTTTGGTAGCAAGTTACTTTCATTCCTCCCGTCATCCTTGGAAACTATAATCTACTCTGAACATTTGCTTCTTCCAGATACTTCTTTAAGCTTTAGTGCCTGACTTTCATTAAGTATGCTTTTAGATGTTTCATTTAACATGAATCAACATTTTATTTTCTTTCATGAGAAAATGATACTCTATTTAGGTGTCACATTTTATTTACTCAATTTTAATGGGTAAAATGGACTTTAGTATAAACTACTTTTTGTCTGTCTGGTTGGTTGGTTTTTCGAGATAGGGTTTCTTTGTAATTTTGGAGTATGTCCTGGAACTCCCTCTGTAGATCAGGCTGGTCTCGAACTCACAGACACCCATCTGTCTCTGCCACCCAAGTGCTTGAATTAAAGGCATTTGTCACCACCGCCCAGCTATAAAAACACTTCTTTTATAAAAGGTCAGGCAGGAGTGGTCAGGCTGGAGGATAGAGACTTGGTAACCCCCCTGGGATACATTGTAAAGCCTTGTTTGTTTGTTTTGGATTTTCGAGACAGATTTCTCAGTAGCTTTGGAGCCTCTCCTGGAATTAGCTCTTGTAGACCAGGCTGGCCTCAACTCACAGATTTGCCTCCTGAGTGCTGGGATTAAAGGTGTGTGCCACCAGTGCCCAGCTGTAAAACCCTGTTTATAAGAAAAAAAAGTTGTGTATAAGTATTTATGTGGACATGCATTAATTTTTATGGGCCATATGTATAGGAGTAATTTGATAGGTCAGATAATTATAATTAACATTTTGAAGACGTACAGAGATTGTTGGTTTTGTTTTTGTTTTCCAGCAGAGGGATTAGTTTGAGTCTGGGTCTCAGTCAAGGAAGACCTTGAATTTAGGGTCCTCCTGCCTCCACTTGAGTGCTGGAATCAACAGCTGTGCTTCACCATCCTCCATTTATGTAGTGCCGGGGAAATCACACACTGAATTTTGCAAGTTAGGCAAGCACCTTACTAGTTGACCTGTTTTCCCCCAGCCCTGCAGAGACGAACTACATTGCCTTTGTAGTGCTTATACCATAGGGTCAAAAGAAAAGCCTAGCAAAATGCATTTAGATGAATGGAGATATGGAAGCCCAAGAATGTAGGTGCTTACAGAAAAGTTTGATACAAGTATGTAGGAGAAGTGTGGAACGGATAGCTAGAGTTCTCGCCGTCCTGAAATTCACTGTTTAGACCAGGCTGACCGCAAATCACAGACATCTACCTGTTTCCT